CTACTGCCAGGGCCTCTGGCCAGCTAGGGAGGGGAGCGCTGTGTCTGACACTCACACATTCCCTCCCATACCTATGTTAAGCACCGTAAAACCTCAATAAAGTCTCACAGAGGTCTCAATATGCAGATCCTCTATGGGAGATAAAAGTACTAAAAAAAAAGTATAGTTTCTGGCAGAACAAAAAGATTGAGAAATGGTGTTTCTGGAGAAGTGAGAACTATGGTTAGGGAGAGAGTACCCAGGCAGATCTGATTCCGATGAAGGAAGGCATTTTTCCAAACCTCACAGCCAGCAGGTCAGAGGGCAAGACTTGGTGACTTTATAAAAGGCCTCACTTAAGTAGATGTGAAATTGGCACCTCCAAGGGATATGACCTCACTGTTCTCACTTCCCCATTTATGTTGCTTGTACCTTGACAATATCTCCCCTGAGGGAATGGAACTGTTTTGTTCCTTGTCACTGATGACTAACACAAGGAGAAAAACAGGAGCTGGAAGACATGTGACTGACTCAATTCTAAGCAAATGGCTTACTTCAAAGAAGACCTTGCATCTGTGATGGAGGGATCATGGGATACTTCTTCAGAGAGGGAGTTGCTGCTCGGAGTAACTGTCCTTCTGGTGGCCTGTTCCACCTAAACAGGCTCCCTTTCCTCCAGGGTCCCCCACAGAACCAGCAGAGCCGGGAGCCCTGACCCACTCATGCCTGCCTGTATTTTCTGCCATCATCTGCCTGTCCAATGGAGCAGTGCTATGAACTGTATCTCAGTGTGAGTCCCCAGACCCCTATCATCATGGGTGGGGTCAAGGCAGGCATCTCCACCTTCTCCCACCACAGCAGGAAGAGCTGGGGGAATCTAAAGGGACATCTGCGGCGGGAGGGGAGAGAGGTACCCCTTGAATGTGTGTCCCAAGGATCCCCATTCATGGGGTCCTACCCTGTTGGGAGCCATGCTACTCATGTTGTCTGACAAAGGTCCGGGCATGGGGCAGATTCCTGAAAATCAGGAATCTTGTTAGCTGACTCCTGCTAGATTCTTCTCATTTGTTTATGGCTAATTTCTACCATCGTTAAAATGTGCATTTAAAAATAAAACTGCAAATGCTGTTTGATCAATTACTGAATAACCAATTTGATGGCAAATGGCACTGCGTGATACAAATATTACATTTTTAATAAAATTAGTAATTCTCTGCCAAAAGGCAGTAATTCAACATTTGGCCTTACATTAACAAGTGAAAAACTTCCAGGAACAAAAGGCTGTAAACAAAGCCAAGTCTTTAATATGGATATATGGTCTTTTGAGGCAAGGGCTAAATGGAGAAGGAAATTCTTTCACTTTAAAGATAGCAGTTGGGTGGCAGATGCGAGCCATGCTCCAAGTGTAAGAAAATTCCTGATAAGCCAGGAGGAGCCATAGCCAGCTCCTGTTAATTCTTCCTGTTTGTTCAGGGCTGCTTCTCCTGGATGTGACAGTTGGTATGGTAGCTATTAGAGTACGCATTCAAGAATAAGTCAACAACAATTTTGTGACTGGTTGAGCTAATAACTGAAAGGTTCGGCAGGGTAAAGAAAAGGAGAGCCAGGCTAAATTTCTCAAAGGAAGGGAAAATTTATTGCGCCCCGGGCGGAACTCACGGACCCAAGGTGAGGGTCCGTGAAGCCGGGCGCGTTGTGAGGAGAGATGTCCCTTTTATAGGGTGAGGAGAGGTTAGGCAGGAAAATTGGGTTGGCAGGCGGGGGACAGGTTTAGGTGGAACAAAGTTGTTTTTCGTGGAGCCGAGTTATTTTTCTCCTGTTTATGGCTTCAGTTTCGATTTGATGGTATCAGTGGTTCTGGTGTGAGGGCCATCTTGTCTTTTTCTATGTGGGCTTCCTCATTCCTGGCCCCTGCATCGACTTTTCAATAACCACGGCAGCACAAATAATGCACTTGGAAATAGTCAATGTTACCACAACTGATATGTCACGTATTAACCATTCTGAGAACCAAAAGCTATAACCATCTCCGGCCCTGTCTCTGATGAAATATTTGTAGTTCCTTAAAACAACAATCAGCAATCTTATAGAAAAAGGAATTTTCCCTTGATCTTAAAGTTGGATACGGAAACTAGGGCTGACGAGATAAGTATAGGAGTAATAGGTAGAAAAACTCTTGTTAGATTAGGTAAATTCCTCCCTTAATTGAGAGCTTGGGGCTAGGGAAAAGTCAATGCATCTTCCTTCCCCCAGGTAACTTCCTGTCCTTTGTTTCCCCTAGCCCTTAGTTAATTGTTCACTATTAAAAAAATAGAAATGTTAGTTTCAGCCATGTAAGTTTTTTTGCTAGTAATAAAATGACTGTTTAAGGTTAATGACTATTCTAAGAACACTTTTGTTTAGTATCTGTGCCTTCTTTAAAACAAAGTGTAATAAATGTCACGACCTCTGCAGGAGGGCAAATAGACCCTTGGCTGTTCTTGAGATAGATGTGATGATTGTTATCTTCTTGCCTTAATGCACATGCTTATGCACTCTCACAGTTTGTTTGAAATGTATAAATAAAGGGCTGCTGAGACCCTCAGCAGGATGATGTCTGCGTCTCCTTGTCATAGAGCAGCCCTGATATTGAACGGGTTGCCTGGCTGTGGGTCCTCACCCGCGCGCTTAAAAGGGACTTATTAATACTCCACTACAGGCATATATAAAAGGTTAATAAAAGTTTATTTACAAGGAAAAAGGAAATAAGGAAAATGTATAACTCAGGGAGAAAATAGGGAAATAAAGTCTTTAATGCGTCCTACCCGATCCGCCGACCTGGAAACCCAATGGCCCTCTGAGAGCTGGCTGAGAGCTGCAAGCTGGCTGAGAGCCAAAAAGGGAATTCCCCCTGGCCCTCCAAAGCCCACGTGTCTGGTTTTATACCAAACCTGGCTGCTTAACTCCACCCTCAGGTTCCAGCAACCTTCCCTTTGGTGGTGATGGGATTTGTCTTTCCCAATGTCCTGATGGCTTTGGTCTGGAGTGGGGGTGGAGTCCACAAAGCCCATATGGAATTAGCTTTAGGACATCCTTTTCCCCCTAACACTGCCAGCAAAGAGGTGCTGAGCAGAGAACTGACCATCACCGGGCACATGTGGAGTGGGATTCAAGGAGCGTGACCCTCAGCACTCAGAGAGATCTGGAGATTCCCTGTGAAGGAGATGGGTGTCCAGATGTGCACCCCCACATCAGGCTCAACAAAGCTGTTTGGGTCAAAGGAATAAGGGGTGTACCCCTGTGCCATTGTCTGTTAAACATTTGGTGACGAGTCACCAAGCAAACTATAGGTTGGTTACCTATGTACCTGTCTCACTTTAAAAATCCACTAGGTGCTTGCGGACTAACCACTGATTATCCAAAAAAAAAAAAAAGAAAGAAAGAAAAAGAAAGATCCAGGGTCCATACTTGGGTGAAAAAGGCATTTGTTGTCCATGGAGCTGAAGAGGAGAGTGATAGGTTGTGAAGACAGGAACCGGGGCCCATCTCCCGGAGAACAGGCTGTACATCACACTGGTGGGCTCACACCCACATCATTGTGTCATATTGGGTTAAAAATCTGTGCCTGTTGCCAGCCCACCTCCAGGGTAAACATACATGTTGGGCAGCATGAGCACTGCTTGCCATTCCTGGAAACAGATACCATCCGGTCAAGGAGACCCTAGAAAACAGAAAACTCCATAGGTTGGGCCACCCTGAGAGCAAACACCTGTGTTAACTAGCAGTTAGTGTTTGCACATTCCAAGAACCAGACTCATGTAGCCATGGAGACCTGAGCCCCAATAGATAGTGAAACCCAATGGTGAAACCAATCAGAGAAAAATCTGTATTGGAACTCAGCCAGTTTGAAAAAGACACATCGCAGAGTCACCACTCCCCTTCATTCCATTTAAAAATATGAGCCCCTGCTCTTGCCGTCTAAGTGGCTGCCCACGCGACCCCTCTCTGCTCAGAGTGCTTTCCTGTCCTTCTCCTTACCTGACAGTAAATCTTTCTCTTCTGCTTAACTCTGGGCACCACATTGAATTCTTGCAACGCCCAGAGTAGGACTGAGGACCACTTGGCCTTGGAGTCTGGTTCCCAAATGCCAGACTCAATTCCCACTCACAGAGTTAACAGTGATTGATGCTTTCAGCACCATTCTATCCTTCTGCACCTTACCTGATTTTGTCCTAATAAGAAATCTAAGAGGTAAACACGAACATCCCCATTTTAGAGATGAGGAAATTGAGGAACAGGGAAATAAAGTTCTGCAATGGGTCCAGCTGTTAAGGTGCTAATAGAAATTTGAGCTGAGATGGTCTAAATGCAGAGCATGGAGGGATTTTTTTATAATTCTCGCTCCTGAGATATCAAAATTGTCATCCAACAAGGCAGGGCTCTTTCTAGGAGGAAGAAATACGATGTTCTCTGTTTGTTCTCCAAAAGTGGAAGGGTTTTGTTCTATCTTTAGTTCCTCTACTTAAGCCCACCCACACGACTGTCACTGTGGATAAACTGTAGATAAACCTGCCACACGCTCATTTTTAAGCCCTCACAGTGGGGTGAAGGGTGGGGCGGGAAGTGTCCAGGACTGGGGAGACTTGATCAAAATGGAGGCTTCCTGCTCTTTCAGGTTCAGGCACTCCTGTTGTTCTTCCCTAGTAGGAAGCCTTCACCTGGGCACAGCTGGATACCTCCCCTCCTGCATCCCTCAAAAGCTGCTGTTCATAGATGTGGAGAGAGGGTCTTCTTTCCTCCCCTCCTCTGAGATGACAAGTTACATGGCCTTTGTTAACTCCAAAGGTTATTTGTTGAAAATGGCCTCCAAAAAGAAAGACAGGACTAGGTTAGGGTTCAGGCATCAGTGCTGTATGATCTTCCCTGTTCCTCTTGGTGAACCAGTAAACATGTGACTCCACATGGGAGAGAGGTTCCTCCCAGCAGAGGGAAGCCTGGACAAATTTCACTTTCACATTCTCTTCCGCTACTTTTGGACTGAACCTCTGATGTCCCCCCCAGTCTTATCTTCTTGGAAACCATACCATTTTGTATTCTCTATAAATCTGTACCCCAAGATAGCAGAAACTCTCCTCCACTCTCTCAGAGACCCAGCTAAACACCCAGGTGAGTGACCCCTGTGTGGTTTCTGGGGCTGCTTCTGCTTGAGGGTGGAGAGGCAGGAGCAGGAGGGGAGAGCCCAGTGCTGAGACAGCTTGCGCCAGGCAGAGCTGGGGGCCAGGAAGAGCTTGCCAGCTGCAAAGAGACCCCGTGGGGCTGGAGAAGGAGCAGCCCCAGGGTGGGGGAGGTGAGCGTCTCTCTGTGGAACGCATGGCATCTGTCTCTGAGGCCAGTGTCAAGCATCTGTTGAGTTTCCCTTGAGCTGGGGGACAGCAGCTCTGCCAGCCTAATCTGAATGTCACAGTAGCTCATGGTTTATTCTAAAGGATCCGCTAATGAGGCGGTTGAGCATGGGCAACACCTGTAGTTTGCATCAAAACACCTCAGTAGTCACAGGCAGGACTGCCAAGGTGTAGGTCACTTTGGCGCTCACCCACAGAGGGGAGGAGGCTCTTCTCTAGGAAGCAGGGGTAAAATGCTCTTGAGAACAGAATAGCATTTGCTACTTGGAGATCTCACAGGAAGAGGGTTACTTTCTTACTGACATAAGGTGAAACTGAAACCAGGGAGCCCAATGGGGGGAGCGGGGTCCTTTTCCTAAGGGGCAGCTTTTCCTCCTCTCTGCCTCCCCAGGTGGGGCCTCCAGGGAAGTGAGGCCACCTTGACTCTGAAGTCCCTCATCTTGTTCTCACTGCTGTTGTGGTGATGTGTGGTCAGTGTAGTGCCCAGCCTTCCCCCAGCAAATCTTCTCCAGTTCAGCGTTTCTAGGAGAGGCACATGGACACCCGTAATGGTTCCATCAGTTCCAATTACTGCAACGACATGATGAGGGACCGGAAACTCTTAAAGAGGAAATTCAACACCTTTGTGCATGCACCCTGGAAAGATGTCCAGGACATCTGCCTCGAGCCTACCATCCTCTGCCGGGATGGTAGGCAGATCAACTGCCACAAGAGCAAGGCCCCAGTGAGCATCACCGAGTGTAGTCAGTCACCTGAGGCCCAAACCCCTGACTACAAGACCAATAGCAGCAATAAATTTATCACCATTGCCTGTTCCGAGATGCTTGAGCCCATCCACTTTGATGATTCCTGGCCTGAATTGCTGGACGCATTGCGATCCGGAGACATCTGCATGGTCTCACTCCCCCGAGTTTTTCCCTCTTGGCCCCAACACGAATAACCCAAGTTGGGCTCCTGACCACCCCACACCAGCATCCCTATCTGAAACTTGCACCACGTGATTTGGGGGGGTAGGACAGGCTTGCATGGGGCCCTATGCCAACCTCCACACTGCTTTCAATAAAACGCACTTGCAACCTGAAGCTGCCCCAGCCAGGGACTGTCTGTGTGATACCTCCCTGCAGGGCTGAGAGCCAGGAATCAGGTATGACAACAACAAAAATAAATAATTCAACATTTTAACAAACAGAACTACAGTCTGGTCACTTTCTGCTGAGTGATATGACACAGGGTGAAGCTCAAGTACAAAATTCCCATTCAGGAAGAACAGCAGGACCTCAGGGGACCCTGCTCAGTTTCAGGGTAGGAAGGAGGGATCTATAAAGTTATGGTCCTAAATTTCCACTTTGTTTTTCTTTGAGTGAGCAGTTACTAGGTCAGAAAAAAGGGACATTTTTTTCTTGAAAAGTCAAACATCAAATGTAAGAGTTAGAAGGGACTGTGAGACCATCAGATAGAGGGCAAGTGGGTTCCAGCTTTTGCACCTGCTCTAACTGGCAGCCCCAGCCTGCAGTGCCCCAGACGCATGTCTGAGGAGGGAGGTGCTTGAACAGTGGCCTCTGGGAAGGGCACCTGAGTGTGGGGAGAATGTGCCACCTGCTGCCCATCCCTGGTCTGAGGTCACCCCTGCCTCTGACTCAAGAGCCTCTGGAGCCTCAGATGGGCCCGTGCCCTGCCCCTGCCCCACTGCTGGTCTCAGCACCGCCAGGGCCACGGCTGCCCAACCATTGCTCTTCTTGCTGCTGGGGCCCCAGAAGGGAATTCCCGTGCCTCCCTCCTTCCCTGGGCTGTGGGGTCTGGCTGCTCCCTGAGCTCCCTGGTGCCTCTTCCCCATGACCCACCCTTCTTGGCAACCCTTCTCTACAGGCACTGAGAAGACTGGACTCAACTGTCATCACTTCTTCATTTCCCTTGATCCTGTTTACAGTTGCCCCTGGCTCTAGATAGTCATAGAAGGAGAAAAGGCCCTGCTCAAACAGCTGGGCCAGTTCTTTGTCTTTATCATTCATGAACGTTGTGACTGTGTTTTTCTTATTTAGTAACATGAATCCCTAGCTCTGAGGGAATCCGTGTGAGGAGAAGGCCTGCAGGTGAGAGGGCCTGGGATTTCCTGGGTGTGGAAATGGGGATCTTGTTCTTTATTTAGGATGGGGGTGGGTGATGGAGAGTGTGTAAGTGTGTGTGTGTGCAGGAAACTCAAGTGTCTAGTTGTATTTCCTTTACCCAGAATTACTCTCAGTTCATCTTACTCTTCTTTCCAAATCCCTATCTCCTCATTTTCCCTCCAGCTAAGGGGACAGTGTAGCAGGGTGTACGCATGCTCAGGTGGAGTTTGGCTGCATGTAGGACTCACATTCACTGGTTATCTTTCTGTCCTCACCTCGGGATCATTGGGAGCCTCCATCTGGTGATCCAGTGCTGGGGAGGATGCTGGTCCAGGCACCGCCCTGCACACCAGAGAGCCTGTGGGGCGGGGACGTGCTCTGAGTAGGGGACCCTGGCAGAGGGAGAGGGCGCCTGTCCTGGCAGGGTCAGAGCACACCAGGAAAGAAACCTCAGTCATGGACACTCTGGAGGTCTCTGCTGTGTGGGGCCTCTATCCACATATCAGGATTGCTAACCCACTCAGGAGATAAATCTTAAAATTGAGTGCTATCTTGATCACTAACTTGATCATATCTGGTGATTTTTTAATAAAAGTATAATGTTCAGAAGATATTTCTTTTTTATAATAAATTTATCTTCTCACATCATTGTTCATCTTTGTACAGTATTTGATTGCTTCTCCCAGGTGTAGTCCCTATAGTTTGCCAACTACATAGCACCATGAACCATCACCATATGCATTTGATCTTCCCTCCCCTCCAAACTGGAAGGAGACACTGTTTTTTCCCCTCTCCTTCCCCTCTTCCCTGCTGGATGCTTCAGGTCTATGGTCAGATGCAGGTTTTTCTTTTTCCCTGACCCTTTGTTCAGTTTCCCCATATTCTAACTGTGAGCGAATCCATCCAATATTTTTCTTTTCCTTTTGACTCATTTCAATTAGCAAAATCCCTTCCAGCTCCCTCCATCTTGCTGCAAATGGCATGAGTTTATCCTTTTTCATCCCTGAGTATTCTGTTGTGTAAATATACCGCATCTACAGAAGATCTGACAAACCAAGAAAGCTTCAAGATTCTGCATTCTCAGCGGACAAGTAAACTCAGTCTGCATCTCAGCTCCTCCTCAGCCCTGAGGCTCTAAGTGTGTCCATATTTTTAATGTCTTCTGCCTCTCTTAACCTTGTGATCCTCCATCCCCTGCTGCATCTCTCTACGATAAGTTCTCCCGTCCATTCTAGCAGTCAGTGGTTCCTCTACCCAGCTATACCCCACCTCAAAACAGAAGTCATCCACACCTAAAATGTGTCCTTCCATCAACAGAATGAATGATACTTGCATCAAGCCCTTGTCCTATTTTGTCCTAGTAAGAAATCTAAGAGGTACATATGAACATCCTTATCTTAGAGGTGAGGCAACTGAGAACAGGGAAATAAAATTCTGTAATTTCCCCTGCTCTTAGGAGCTGCTTCAGAATTTGAAGTGAGTGTAAATCCAGAGCATGGAGGGATATTTTTATAATTCTCCCTCCAGATGTATCAAAACCAAAAAAAAAAAAAAAACCAAAAATAAAACCAGGTCTCCTTCTAGAATGGAAGAAATATGATCTTTTCTATTGTTTCTCCAAAAGGGATTTAGGGTTTGTTCTATCTTTAGCTCATCTACTTAACCCTTCCCCACAGAACACGTTGTCACTGTAGATGAGACCTGTCACATGCTCATTAGGGTGGGCAGGAAGTGGCCTGGACTGGGGAGGCTTCTTGCCAAAATAGAGACTTCCCTCTTTTCCTGGTTCTGTCACCGTCCCCTTTTTCTCCAAAGTGGGGAAGCCTTCCAGCTGGGCACAGCTTGACACCTCTCTCCCCCACCTCCTTTGTCTCTGGGAAGCTACTACTGGGAGATGTGGATTCCAGTCCAAGCTGCTCCAGGACTCCTGGGAACTGAAGGGGCCTCTATCCTTCCCTCCCCTGGGGTCACAAGTTACATGCCCTTTGTTAACCTCCAAGGGCTATTTGTTGAGTATGGCCTCCAAAGGGAAAACAGGACTAGGTTGGGGCTCAGGCATCTGTGCTGTATGATGTTCTCTGTTCCTCCTAGTGAAGCAGCAAACAGATGATCCTCATGGGAGAGAGGCTCCTCCCAGCAGAGGGAAGCCTGGACAAATTCCACCCCTTCCTCATATTGTGCTCCTTTCCTTTGGAATGAAACTCTGATGCTCCACCCACTCTTCTCTTTTGAAAGCCACACCCCTTGTACTCGCTATAAGATCTGCACCCCAGGGACCCCATAATTGCAGAAATTGACCTCCACTCTCTCCCAGAGACCCAGATAGACACCCAGGTAAGTGACTCACGGGGTGGTCTCTGGAGCTGCTTCTGCTTGAGGGTGGAGAGGCAGGAGCAGGAGGGGAGAGGCCAGCACTGAGACAGCTTGGGCCAGGCAGAAGCTGGGGGCCGGCTAGAGCTTACCAGCTGCAAAGGGAACCTGTGGGGCTGGAGGAGCACCCCCCAGGACAGGAGAGGCGAAAATCCTTCTGTGGAACACAATGCCATCTCTTTGTGAGGCCAGTGTCAGGCACTGGGTTGAGTGTCCCTTGAGCTGGAGGACAGCAGGGTCTGTCAGCCTGATTCTGTCAGGGCAGCTCATGGTTTATTTGAAAGGATCCTCTAATGAAGCGGTTGAGAGCTATGTACAAATGCATTTTACATTAAAAATTCTCTAGTAGTCACAGACAGGACTGCCAGGGTTTAGGTCACTTTGGCGCTCTCACCCATGGAGGGGAAGATGATGCTTCTGTCAAGCAGGAGTAACATGTTCCTGCGAACATCATATGCGTGTGATTATTTGGCAGATCTCACAGGAAGAGGGTGACTTTCTTGCTGATGTAAAGTGAAACTGAAACCAGGGAGCCCAGCGGTGGGAGTAGGGGGTCCGTTATTTAAGAGGCGGCTTATCCTCCTCTCTCCTCTCCCAGGTGGGGCCTTCAGGGGAGCGCGGCCACCATGGCTCTGAAGTCCCTCGTCCTGTTCTCACTGCTGGTCCTGGTGCTGCTGGTGCTGGGGGGTGTCCAGCCTTCCCTGGGGAAGGAATCTCGGTACCACAGGTTCCAGCGGCAGCACATGGACCCAGGCAATTTCCCTGAAAGCAACCCCACCTACTGCAACCTGATGATGAGGCGCCGGAATTTGACGCAGGGGCGCTGTAAGCCGGTGAACACCTTTGTGCACGAGTCCCTGGTGGACGTCCAGGCAGTCTGTCTTGAGAGAAACATCACCTGCAAGAATGGGCAGCCCAACTGCCACCAGAGCCACTCCAGCATGCGCCTCACAGACTGTCGCCTGACTGGTGGCTCCAAGTACCCCAACTGTGCCTACCGGACCACCCAGAAAGAGAGATACATTATTGTGGCCTGTGAGGGAAACCCGTATGTGCCTGTCCACTTCGATGCTGCTGTGGAGGTCTCCACCTGAGGCTGGAGCAGAGATGCTCCCAACACCTCATTCTTGTGGCCACCACTCTCCAGAGCTCTTCCCTCTTGGCCCTGATGGGAATAATTCAAGTTGGGCTCCTGGCTATCCCACACTAGCATCCCTGCCTGAGGCTTGCACATGTGGTTTGGGGGGTGAGACAGGCTTATATGGGGCCCCATGTTAACCTCCTCACTGCTTTTTTTAATAAAACTCACTTGCAACCTGAAGCTGCCCCAGCCAGGGCCTGTCTTTGTGATGCCTCCTGCAGGGCTGAGAGCCGGGAATCGGGGACCTCTGGTGAGCAGCATGGGAAGAAATCAAGTGCCTGCTCTTCTGACTATTGTTTTCAGTGACTTGGGAGAATTCTTTTCTATAGATTCTTTGAACACGTGATGAAATTTTTAATTGTGGGCCATTTTATATATTAGGAACTATGGGACTGTGGGTGTCCTGGTGAGGGGTATGGTTGGTAACATACATCTGAAGAGGGGTGACCCTATGCCAAGAATCATATGTGGTGTTGGAAACCAATGTCATCTGATTAAAACTTAATAAAAAAATTTTAAATGAGATACAATCTGGGACACTGTCCCACTGGGTGACCTGACACAGGGTGAGGCTCAGACTAAAATTTCCCTTGACCAAGAAGAACAGCAAGACCTCAGGAGACCCTGCTCATCTTCAGGATAGGGAGGAGGACTCTGTGAAGTTATGATCCTAAATGCCCACTTTCATTTTTCTTTGAGTGAGCTAGTACTAAATCAAAGTAGTGGAATATCGTTTTGTAACTGGAAAATGTTGGGGTTGGGCTGCCTGCTGCCACCAGAAGCCCATTTAACAGAGACAGGGATTGGATCTGTAACATGCACTTTAATGTCAGAAAACTGGTGATTTGAGAGAACAGGGTTATTTTACCCCAAAAGCCTGTTCTGACATCTCATCTCAAGCCAGTCTTTTTCTGGTGAACTAAACAAAGACAGTTATCCATAAGTGAACCTCTCGCCACAACACCCTGTCACAATTGGGGCCCTGGTCATCGTTGTGTCCCAGAGTTTGTTGTGGTTTCCTTGCTCATCTTGACCTTAGTAGATGCTGCTTTCCTGGGAAAAACATCCTGATTTTCAGATGACATCAATGTCCAACACTTCTTCAGGCATCACTGGTGTAAGACTCTCAGTTCAAAATGAGAGTTTTATGTCAAAGAAAACACATCATTAATCACATGGCTTTTTAAAAAAATATTTATTTATGCATACAAGAACTGGGGTACTGGCCAGAGGTGTGAGGGTGAGAGGATTCACCAGAGACAGAGTAGAAAACAGAACAGGCAGGCTGACTGAAATACACTACTGACGGGAGAAGTAGGCGAGACAGGAGAGGTCTGCTGCGCCATGTGGGTATCTCCCTGTCTGGCTGGGCATGGAACTGGAGCTGCAGAGGTTGTGGTTAGCTTCACAGTGCTGGGTTTAACCCCTTGCGCCACCAGGGAGGCCCATGTCATGTTCTCAAGCAGCCTATGCTCTGTGTGTGTGCAGGTTCCTTCTTCCCTGGTCCTTATCATTTATTGAAAAGTCAAACATTAAATGTAGGAGTTAGAAGGGACATTGAGACCATCAGATTGAGGGCAAGTGGATTCCAGCTTGTGCACCTGCTCTAACTGGCAGCCCTGGCCTGCAGTGCCCCAGATGCATGTCAGAGGAGGGAGGTGCTTAAACAGTTAGTTGCCTCCTGGGGGCACCAGAGTGGGGGCAGAATATGCCACCCACTGACCAACTCTGTCTGAGGTCACCCCTGCCTCTGACATAGGAGCCACTGGAGCCTCAGACAGGCCCCGTGCCCTCTTCCCCATGACCCAGCCTATGGGCCTGCTCCCTTCTTGGCAGCCCTTCTTTGCAGACACTGAGAAGACTGGACTCAACTGTCATCACTTCTTCATTTCCCTTGACCCTGTTTACAGTTGCCCCTGGAGAGAGACAGGACCACAGGAGTAGAGAAAGGCCCTGCTTTTAACCAGTTGGACCAGTTCTGTCCTTGTCTTTATCATTTATGAATGTTATGACTGTGCTTTTCTTATTTAGTGAAGTGAATCCTTATCCCTAGGGGGTGTCTGTGAGGAGAAGGCCTGCAGGTGAGAGGGGCTGGGACCCCTGGACGTGGAAATGGGGATCTCATTCCTTAGTTAGGATGGGAGCGGAAGTTCGGAAGGTGGGCCTTGTGTGTTTGCAGGAAATCTCAAGTGTCTAGATGGATTTCCCTCAGTCTTCCCTCAGTAAGAAAAGATATTCTTACTTTTCTACCAAATCCAAAACTCTTCAATTTTCCCTTTTGCTAAGGGGGCACATGAAGTGCATGCTCACAGAGTTTTGCTGCCTTTAGGTCCCACATTCACCTATTCTGGTTCTGTGATCCTCACCTCAGGATTGCTGGGGGCCTCCATCTGGGGATCCAGTAGTTGGGAGGACGCTGGTCCAGTCTCAGCCCTGCACACCAGAGAGCCCGTGGGGCGGGGATGTGCTCTAAGTAGGGGACCCTGGCAGAGGGGAGAGGGCACCTGTCCTGGCGGGGTCAGCGCACACCAGGAGAGAAAACTCAGTCATGGACACTCTGGAGTCTCTGCTCTGTGGGGACTGAGCTGCTTTTTTATTTGTTGTTGTGGCCTGTTTTGCTGTGAACTTCCCTTTTACTATCAGTTTGCATCCTGCAGGATTTGATAGATGGTCTCTTTATTTTCTTTGGTTACCACATCATGCTTTTATTTGTCCTTTCACTTGACCCAAGAGTTGCTCCAAAGCATTTTGTTTACTCTCCCCATGTTGAAGTCTTTCACAGTTTACTTTTTGTGGTTGATTTCTAGGTTCAGACATTTGTGGTCAGAAAAGATGTCTAATGTGATTTTGACCTTTGATTGAGATTTGATTCCTGTCCCAACCTATTTGTGTCCTTGAGGATGCTAACAGTGCATTATGTATTCATTTCTGTAGGAAGGAAATTTCTGTATCTGTCTGTTTATTCCATGTGATCAATTATCTCATCTAAAGTTATTATTTCTTTGTTTGCTTTCTGATCTGCCATTAACATAAATGGTGTGTCAGGATCCTCACTATCAGTGTACTGTGGTCAAGATCTGTTCAGGTCTAATAATAGGTGTTTTCTGTATCAGCTGCAGATGTGCTAGGCTCATAAATATAATGATAGCTATATTTTCTTATGGATCACCTGCTTTATCATTGTATAATTCCCTCTATGTCAATTATTGCCATTTTTTGCAAGCAGTTTATGTTATCAGATATTAAATAGCAGCTTCTGTTCTTTTCTCTGAGTTATTGGCTTGAAATCCCTTGCTCCAGCGTTTCACTATGAGTCTATGATGTCTTTAGATTTGATGTGAATTTTTTGTTTTCATAATATAAAAGGATCCTACTTTTTATCCACCCAACCAAACTGTGTTGTTTGATTGGTAAGTTTAGACTGCTCACCTTTAGGGTGATTATTGGTATATGTGGCTTAATTACTGCCATTCTGACTTTTGTTTTTTGGTTATTTTCTATTTTTGCTGTTGCTTTTTCTATGTGTTTCTTTCTTTCTATTTCCATAATTCTTTCTCTCAGTGACTTCATTTTTACTTCTAAGTGTCTCTGCTCCAGACTCTGTTTTGTGGTTGCCATGAGATTTGTATTAAACTTTTTATTTATAAAGAGTCTTTTTTGGTGTTGGAATAGATTCATCATTATTTTACTAACAGATTCTGTCGTTTTCATCATAATCATTATCACAACCATGAAGCAGAACACTATCCCCCCAAATCCTTCTGTGTTATCCCTTTACACCTTCCTCTCACCCAAACACCTGGGAAACACCAGTCTTCATACACACAATGAGCTGTTATTGTATGGTTATTATGAAAAACACCTTTATGTGCTACCAATACAAAATGAATGAAACATAACCTAATTTCCTAAGTACTTTGTATTCTCTCTGGGAAGATGTTTGTGCAAGCTACTGTAGTACAAATGCTTGTGAAAAGTTGGTAAAAACTGATGAAGATAATGCCTAGTCCAGTCATTCAATGTAATTTATACAAAATCTATCAACCTCATTTTTCTTCCCTTGTAGACAATTCTTTCCCAACACACTGTCTGCTCCATGAAATAAAAATTAAGGCATAATATTTTGTAGAATATGGTTGAATTTGAAGAGCCATAGAACATACGCTTCAAAATTATTTTGCCACCCAATGACTATTTTTGCCCACTAGGGGCACTGTTGCTCCTGCTGAGAAGCATGTATTGAATGACACTCTTAAATATGTTAAAAACCCACCTCCTAGAAACTTCCCTTATTTATTGCTACTACACTACTTAACACAATAGCTAACATATCCCCCTGGCCCCTCACCTACAGCAGAGTAATATGCATGGGCCTAAAAATTTTGCCTATTGGAAAGAGGAATTGGTTTAAAAACAAATAATCACATTTAACAAAATACCTCACCAGTTACCATAAAAATGGCAGAGTCGTCAAAAACCAGGACAGTTGGATAAATTGTCACAGCTGAGAGATGCTGAAGGAGACGGGACAATTCATTGTAAAGTGGTTTGCTGGATGGAGCCCTGGAGCAGAGACATGAGTGACAGTGAGGAAATCTGACTAAGGTGTGGTTTTGTTATAGGGCAACCTCGATATAAAATAAAACGGGTTGCCTGGCTATGGGTCCTCACCAGCGCGCTTAAAAGGGACTTATTAATACCCCACTACAGGCACATGCAAAAGGTTAATAAAAGGTTTATTTACAAGGGAAGAGGAATTAAGAAAATGTACAACTCAGGGAGAAAATAGGGAAATAAAGTCTTTAATGCGTCCTACCTGATCCGATGACCTGGAAATCCAAAGGCACTCTCAGAGCTGGCCAGGTACTGCGAGCTGGCAGAGAGCCAAAATGGGGGATCCTCTCCAAAGCCCAAGTGTCTGGCTTTATACCACACCTGGCTGCTTAACCCCACCCTCAGGTCCCAGCCACCTTCCCTTTGGTGGGGATGGGATTTGGAGTTCCCAGTGTCTTTTGGCTTTGGTCTGGAGTCGGGGGTGGAGTCTACAAAGCCTGTATGGAATTAGCTTTAGGACATCCTTTTCCCCCTAACAATTTTAATTGCTGATACAGTGATAAAAAGATCACCCGAATTCTCCCGTCTTGCTCCACCCAGGGATGGACACTCAGGGACTCCCCCAGGGGCACCTTGGGTAGAACTGTTATAGAGCAACCCCGATATTAAACGGGTTCCTGGCTGTGGGTCCTCACCCGCGCGCTTTAAAGGGACTTATGAATACTCTACTACAGACACACGCAAAAGGGTTAATAAAAGGTTTATTTACAAGAGAAAAAGAAATAAGGAAAATGTACAACTCAGGGAGAAAATAGGGAAATAAAGTCTTTAATGCGTCCTACCCGATCCGACGACCTGGAAACCCCAAAGTCACTCTCAGAGCTAGACGGACGCCGCGAGCTGGCCGAGGGCCCCAAAATGGAGAGAGAGCCCCCAAAGCCCACGTGTCTGCCTTTTGTATCCACCTGGCTGCTTAACCC